ACCTATTTTTATATCATTAGTTTGTTATTTTAAAACTGTCTAAGAAAGATGTTGATTCCTAAATTTTGAAAATTTAGGAATTTTTGGAAAGTCAAGGAATTGAATTAAATCCACCAGAGAAGATGGCTCTTGATCCTTACACTGAACTCCGGAAAGAGCCTGTTCGTAAGTATGTCACACCATCGGACTTTGATCAGCTAAAGCAATTTCTCACCTTTGACAAACAAGTAAGTGACCGAGGGGAGTAGGTTTACTCCTGTTCGAATATAGGTTGTGTTTACAGGCAAGCTCTTTTGGCTTGCACCCAGCTCACCCATCAGCCCACAGTGTTTCATCTAGGGCCAAAAGTGTTCAAGTATGCCAATGCCTAGATTTTTTTTTAATTTTTTAATACATTTTATTTATTTTGTATGCCTGTGAGCTTGAACTCAAGCTGTCAGGCTTGGCTGCAGGCTCCTTAACCCACTGAGCCATCTGTTCAGCTCACACATTTCTTACTCAAAATTGAAAGGAGACTGTGGAGTTGCCTTGTGAATCACACTGCATGTTTACATGGTAAAGCAATTCTTGACCTACATCTTTGTATCTTTCCCACTTTGTATTTCAAATTGCTCTTTCCTTTTCCCCCAAATGAGTTAATTTTACAGAATCCTGTGGTCAGCCTTAAGTGAATTATTGGAAAAATTTAAAACTGTACACATTTGTTCTGCTATTAAAATAGTTATTAAATTAAGTAGCTATAGTAGTTGATTTCAGAGGAACTCCACCTCAAATGTTTCCCTGCTAAATGTTATATTAGTGTTAAAGTACATTCTGCAGGCCAGCCATGGTGGCACACGCCTTTAATCCTAGCACTCTTGAGACAGAGGCAGCGGATCTCTGTGAGTTCAAGGCCAGCTTGGTCCATATAGTGAGTTCCAGGCCAGCTGGACCTACAAGGAGACCCTATCTCAAAAATAAATAAATAAATAAATAAATAAATAAATAAATAAATAAATAAACAAACAAACAAACAAACACATTCTGAATGTTCGTTGACTCTCTTCAGCCTTCCTAATCCTTCCCCCTGTGAGCTGAGGTATATAACCTGAACAGTAAGAGTATTGATGACAGAGGTGGCTATGAATATTTCTTGGCTGTTTTTTTATTTCCCAGAAATTTAACTTCTTTTACTTCAGTTCTGCCTAGTGTTAGCATGGACAGCTAAGGATTGTTTTATTTTGTTTTTGAGACAAGATTTCTCTACGTAGTCCAGGCTGGGCTCAAACCTGCTACATAGCCCAGGCTCTACTTGATCCTCTTGTTTCTGTCTCCAAGTGCAGATTACAGGCTTGTGCTACCACACCTGATTTTCCGCTGTTCTTTGTATTTGAAGATTGTCTTGATCCTGTTATTAGTCAATGTGTTTTGAGGGTACAAAAAAAGTGGCTAATAAATGATACTAGTTCTATATTAACAATCTATTATGTATCTCTGTGTGTGTATGTGTGTGTGTATGCGTAGTGCGTATGCACATGTTCAGTGCCTCCACAGTGAGCATGCAGAGGCCAGAGGAGGATGATGGGTGTCTTCCTCTAATGCTCTCCACCTTACTTTTTGAGACAGGGTCTCTTACTGAACCTGAAACTCACCATTTTGGCCTGACTGGCTAGTGAGCTCCTAGAATCCACCTGTCTCTGGTTCATAACTCTGTGGTTACAGGCATATATGTCCATGCCTGGCTTTTTATGTGTGTGCTGGGGAACTGAACTCAAGTCCTCTTGCTTTCATAGAAAGATGGCTTATCCACAGAACCATCTACCCAGCCTCTATTGTTCTTTTAATCCAGCTTCTCTTTCGCTGCCTGATATTTGGGGACAAAGTGACCTTTCTTTTCTTGGCACAAACTTAGAATCCTTATGTTATCCTTTCCAGACGCTGATATATGGTACATAATTTTGGGTGTTTTCATATCTTTGATGAATATTTCTTTTTTTTTCAGTGTACCATCTGAGAGTGTTTGCACTAATACTCCTCACTGTCTGACCCATAACTGTCAACAGTGCTAAGTGAAAATTCTACTTTTCTGATTCTTACTGAAGTCATTGCTTTGCACTCCTCCAAGGTTCTTCGATTCTATGCGATCTGGGATGATACAGACAGCATGTTCGGTGAATGCCGTCACTACATCATTCACTACTACCTCATGGATGATACAGTGGAGATTCGAGAGGTCCATGAACGGAATGATGGGAGAGATCCGTTCCCACTCCTGATGAACCGCCAGCGCATGCCCAAGGTTTTGGTGGAGAATGCAAGTAAGACTCCGTTTATCTTCTGCTACTGGGGAGATGTGGGGGGTTCTGACTGAGTTACATAGTCAACATGGCTGTTCTTTTGTACTTGGGAGACCCTGACTGTATTTCCCTACGTTCTCAATAAATGTTTTTTGACAACTTCCCTTTACAACTTGCCTCATGGCCTAGGCATGCTTCCTGGGCAATCTAGTAAAGATGACTTACATTAGATCAAAACAACAAAGTGAAAACAATAGAAGATTCTTGTAAAGAAATGAATGAAGAGGTGGCTTCTGAACTGAACAAATTTAGTATTAGTTTTTTTTGTGCATTTGTTTTCGTGGTACTGGGAACTGAACTCAGGGCCTTGTGTGTGCCTGGCAAGCACTCTACCACTGAACTATAGCCTCAACCCTGTTTTTATTTTGAGACAGCACCTCACTAAATTTTCCAAGCTGACTATGAACTCACTCTGAGGCCCAGGCTGGCCTTGAACTTTCAATCATCCCACCTCAGCCTCACAAATAGCTGAGATTGCAGGCCCACAGTACAAGGATCAGGGAGTACTGGATCTTGGACATTTTTCAGACAGGGATGATTTCTTTTAGGAATATGGATTAGCATTTCCTTATATGCTTTCCTGGTGTTGTTTCTGAACTCCTTTTTAAATAGGAAGTTTCTATATGGTTCAACTTTAGATGAGGAAAGGCCATGTCTGTGGCTCATAGAGGGTGGAGGCTCAGGGCACAGATCCTGGCTTGCTCTCTGCTGTCTTAAGATAACCTAGGATGAGGGGGGAGGAGAGGGGAGGGGAGTGGAGGGGAAGGGAGGTGATGGAGATTACAGTGGATACCATAGAAATATTAAAGACCATAACAGTATTATAAATATATATGCTCCAAATTTGATAATCTAGAATTGATGGTCAAACTCATAGACATATAACTTTTCCAAGATGGAATTATCATAGGAAATAAAAGCCCTGAAGAGATCAAAAACAAGCATGGAGGTTGAACCAGTAGCAAAATGTCTCCTATTAAAGAAAAGCCCAGGTTAAGGCAGCTTCACTGGTGAGTTCTACCAAAGACTCAGAAGGAGCTAATACTATGTGGTGGTTTGAATGGGTGTCCCCCATCGACTCCAAGTATTTGGACACTTCGTCACCAGTATTGTGGCACTGTTTGGAGAGGGTCATGGAACCTTTAGGAGGTGTGGCCATGCTGGAGGAAGCATGTCACTGGGGGTGGCTTTGAGAGTCCTTAAGCCTTGCTGGATTTCCAATCTCTCTCTGCTACCTGTGCCTTCTTCAAGGTGTGATCACGTGGCTTTCTTCCCTAGCCACCTGTGCCAGCATGCCTCCCCTGCCATTATGAACTCTCCCCTCCAGAACTGTAAACTAAATAAACTCTTCCTTCTATAAGTTGCCTTGATCATAGTGTCTTTCACAGCAACAGAAAAGTAACTAATTATTTTAAATTATTCAAAAAATTTTTGAAGAGGAGGGACTTCGTCACAACACATTCTTATTCCAGCACCACCTGGATACCATAACCAGATAAGAGCACAACAAAAAAAGAAAACTATGGACCAGTGTGCTCAATGAATGCAGACAGAAACATTCTCAACAAAAATACTAGTATATTGAATCTTATGCCACATGAAAAAGATTATTCACTGTAACCAAGTGGGATTCATCCCAGGGATGCAAGGATGGTTCAAGACACATGAACCAATAAGAGTAATACCCCATATTAAAGGAATGAAGGACAAAAACCCCATGATCATCTCAGTAGCTACAGAAAAAGTATTTCATAAAATCCAACCTCCTTCATAACAAACCACTGAACAAATTATGTATGAAAGGAATGTACCTCAACATAGTAAAGATTATGTGTAATGAACCAATAGACGACATCATACTGAATGAGGGAAACTGAATATTCCCTCTAAGTTCTGAAACAGGCAAGGTTACCCACTCTCACCACTTTTGCTCATAGTGCTGGAAATCCCAGTCAGAGCAGTCAGAAAAGACCAAGAAATGGAAGGCATCCAGTCAGGAAAGAGGAAGTCAGATCACAGATGACATCATCTCACATACCAAAATCCTTAAAACACCAACAAAAACAATTAAAATTCACAAATGAACTCAGCAGAATTGCAAGAACCAAAATAAACACGCAAAAATCAGTACCATTGCTGTATGCCAGTGGTGAGCTATCTTAACTAGAAATCAAGAATGAAATCCTATTTGTAATAGCTATAAAAAATGAAATACCTAGATATAAATTTAACAAAAGAAGTTAAAGATCTCCACAATGAAAGTTATAAAACACTGATGAAAGAAATTAAAGAGGGACGGACACACACACACGTATGCACCCATACAAAAAATTCCATATTCATAGGCTGAAACACTCAATGCTGTTACAGTGTCCATAATGCCCAAAACATAATGTAATACCTGTCAAAACCAATGATTTTCTTCCAAGAAGTAGAAAAAAGCAATATTAAAGTTTGCATGGTACCCCTAACAGCCAAAGGAATCTTGAGAAAAAAAGAACTAAGCAGGAGATTGTGCAGTATCTGGCATCAAGAGAAATAGCAATCAAAGCTTGTTGGTATTGACATAAAATCAGATGCACAGACCAATGGAACAAAACAGAGAGCCTAAATTTAGGCCCACACAACCACAGCCAACCAATTTTCAAGAAAGAGCTAATGAGAGACAGCTCAGCAGTTATGAGCACTGACTCCTCTTGCAGAAGACCCAGGTTCAATTCCCAGTACCCACATGGTGGCTAACAACCATCTATAACTCCAGTTCCATGGAATCTGACACCTTCATCTGACCTTCATGGGCATTGTACTACATGGGTACACTTATATACATGCAGGCAATACACTCATACACATCACATAAAATAAAAATAATAAATAAGATAAAAAAAGGAAAGATGCTAAGAACATGCCTTGGAGAACAGACAATCTTTCAGTAAGTGGCCCTAGGAAAATTGGATCTCCACATGCAGAAGAATGAAACTAAACCCTATCTCTCACCAGTTGCAAAAATAAATTCAAAAGACATTGAAGACTTAGTGTCAAGACCAGAAAACTACAAATTACTAGAAGAAAATGGGAGGGAAATGATTTTAGAGACTGGATGGGGCAGGAATTTTTTGTATAGGATCCCCAAAAGGCTGGAAACAAAAGAAAAAATATATAGAGATGGGATTGCATGAAGTTAAAAAGCTTCTGTGCTACAAAGTAAACAATAGAAGTATAAAGAGACAACATGTAGAAAGGGAACACTTATTTACAAAGATACTTCTGCCAAGGGGTTAATGCCCTGAATACACACAGAACTCAAAAAAACTCAATAGCAAAAACAAAACAAAACAAAAACAAAATCCACAAATAAGCAACCCATTAAAAAATAGAAAATGGGGCTGGAGGGATGGCTCAGCTATTAAGAGCACTGACTGCTCTTGTAGAGGACCCGAGTTCAATTTCTAGCACCCACCTGGCAGCTAACAACTGTCTGCAACTCCAGTTCCAGGAGATCCAACACCGTCTTCTGACCTCCATGGGTATTACATGACATGGGTGTACTTACACAGGTGCAGGCAATACACTCATACACATAAAATAAATAAGTAAATAAATAAATAGATAGATAGATAAATAAATACACTCACATATAAAAATAAATAAGTAAATAAATAAATAAATAAATAAATAAATAAATGTAAAATAGACCTGAATAAATATTTCTTAAAAAGAAATACAGGACCAGCAAGATGCTCAGCAGGTAAGGGTGCTTGCCACCAAGCCTGACTACCTAAGTTAAATTTCCAGGACCCACATAGAGGAAAGACAGAAATAGACTCCCACAAGTTGTCCTCTAACCTCCACATGCATGCACTCCTCTAAAAATAAATAAATGTGGTTTTTTATTTAAAATATTTTATTTTTATTTTATGTGTATGCGTGTATTGCCTGCATGTATGTAAGTGCACCTGTGTTGTGCAATGCCTGCGGAGGACAGAAGAGGCTGTCGGATCCCCTGGAACTGGAGTTATGGACAGTTGTTAGCTGTCATGTGGGTGCTGGGATTCGAACACGAGTCTTCTGCAAGAACAGTTAGTGTTCTTAATCCCTGAGCCTTCTCTCCAGCCCCATAAATGTATTTTTAAGAAGACATACAAAGCAAGTTGTGGCGGCACACACCTTTAATCCTAGCACTCAGGAGGCAGATGGAAATGGCCAACAGTATATGAATGAGTTTTCCATATCAATAACCATCAGGAAACCACACCTCAGAACTACAGTGAGATAGGATTTCACTCCAGCAGGAATGCTTTGTCAAAATTACATTTAAAGAGATCTGTAAATTAGCTTACTGGTATAGCTTGCCTAGCATATATTAGGCCCTGGGTTCAATCTCTAGCACTGAAATGCCCTTACCTGCTCACACACACACACACACACACACACACACACACACACACACACAAGCCTGTATTCTGATGGTGGGGATGAAAATTAGTGCAACCATTATGGAAAACAGAATGGGTGTTTTTCAGAACATTGAAACAGAACTTCCATTAGTTCAGCAATCCTGAGAATGCATTTAAAGAAAATTAAATCAGGACATAGAAGAGATATCTGTATACCAGTGTTTAATGCAGTACAGTTCATAATATCTAAGAAATAAAAGCAATCTAAGTGTACATCAACTAATGAACAAGGAAAATGTAGTATATATACACAATGAAATACTAGTCATCCATGAAAAAGAATGAAATTCTGTCATATGCACCAACATGGATGCACTCTGGAGGTCATTGTATTAAGTGAAATAAACCAAGTACAGGAAGATAAGTAGTACACAATCTTACTTGTGTATAGTTATTAAAAGTTCATCTTGTCAGGCCTCACTGGTACACACCTGTAATTCCAGCACTTGGGAGGCAGAGGCAGAAGGACCACAAATTCAAGGCCAGCCTGAGCCTCATAGTGATACACTGCCTCAAAATAAAAAGAAAATAACAAAAACATTGATGTCATAGAATTTGGGGAAAGAATGGTGATTTTTGGTGAAAGGAGTAACAGAGGGACAGGCTGGGGAGACTGCTCAGTCTATAAAGTACCTGCTGCGTGAGCATTGGAACCTGGTTTGGATCCCCGCACCCATGTAAAAGCTGGGTGGGCAGATGCAGCAGGTGGCCCACCTGTAACCCCAGGGATGGGGATGCAGACAGGCAGATCCTGGAGCTCATTGGCTGGCCAGCCTTGTCAGTCAGTGAGTTCCAAGTTCAGTAAGAGATCCCGTCTCAAAAATAAAGTGGAGCTGGGGGTGGTGGCACACACCTTTAATCCCAGCACTGGGGAAGCAGAGGCAAGTGGATCTCTTTGAATCTGAGGTCAGCCTGGTCTACACAGCAAGTTCCAAGCCAGCCAGGTAACATGATGAGACTCTGTTTAAAAAAAAAAAAAAAAAAAAAAAGGAGAACAATTGAGAAAAACATTTGATGTTGTACCAGCATATATACATGCACATCTATATATACAGTGCATGTACACACACACACACATACACACACACACACACACACACACACACACACACACACACACCCCTACAGAGTAGTGGGGAGAGAGAAATGGGAAGAGAAACTTATCAATGGATACTAAGTGACAATTACTAATATTCTAGGGTGCTATTGCACAGTATAACTATAGAGAGCAAATATATCCTGTGCATTTTTAAGAGCTGGACTAGCTCGGTGCTACAAGTTCAAGCCCAATTTGCACTACATAGTGAGTTCAAGGCCAGTCTGGGCTACATAGCAAGGTCTCAAAAGAAAACCAAAACAATGACAAAAAAGCAAAGAGCAAAGGATTTTTGTTATTTTCATCATAAAGAAAAAAAAACTTTTAAAGCTGATTTAATCACTACATAATATATAAGTACATATACATGCAGCATATATAGTATCAAAGTATCCCATAGTGCCCCATTAATATGTATCATATATATATATATATTATTAGCCACTGAAATACTTTAAGGGTTGCTGACTGAGCTAATTTCTCTTATTACAGAAATTTAGCCTTTTTCCTATTTTCCATCTCAGCTATTAACAGGAGAATCCTGGTGTCTTGGCTCCCTGCATTGCAATGGTTATACCATCTAATGTGCGCACTCTACCACAACCTACTGACTTTTGTGATGGTGTGGAAGTCAAGCTGCAGGAATCAATCTGAAATAAGTGAACCCTTAGCTCTCACAAAACACTGATAAAACTGGACTTATTCCAAAAATGTGAGACTCATTCAGTATTTGAAGGTGATTCTCACATGAATGGATGATTGTAATCCTCTCATTAATTGTCCTTGTCCTGTCTCCACTAGGTCTGACTGGGTCATTCCTCCTAACAGCAGTGATTACAATGGGAGAAAGTATTATTTATGTAGTTGTTTCCTGTCTGTATCACCAAACAGGATATTTTCACCACAAAGGCAGGAATTGTTTGTATATGATTAATTCTGTAACTGCAGTGCTTAGCAGTACACGTTGTATACAGGCAGTGCATAATTATTGGACAAATGGATAAATGGTTGACAGGTCGAACCACATGTCTTGGATCCCTCCCAGAGCTAACACTCTTAGGCTTATGGGATGATACTTGTCTTTTCCTTCTGTGATTTCTTCTAAGTATTAATTCTGCTAATCTTGTTAACTTATGGTGATAATGCTAGCTGAATGTAGGAGAGAGATTTTGTGAAAGAAATATCTGACATATTATTTGTGTATCCCATCAAAGATTGAATTACACAGCCCTATATTCTTATGGGACTTCAGTGGTTCCTGACCCTTGACTAGATAAGAACGGGTTCTCAAGAATACCCAGCTCTTGTGTCGATCTTTTTTCCTCTTTGCAAATCCTGTCTTCTATTAGAGAACTTCCCTCAGTGTGTGCTGGAAATCTCTGATCAAGAGGTGCTGGAGTGGTACACAGCCAAGGACTTCATCGTGGGAAAGCCACTCACAATCCTTGGGAGGACCTTCTTCATCTACGATTGTGACCCATTCACCCGACAGTACTACAAAGAGAAGTTTGGAATGCCCGATTTACCACGCATTGGTGTGACCAAGCAGGAGCCACCTCCTGTAAAACAGGTAGTGGAACAGAAGTTCTGCATGTGATGGGAAGTTCTGTAGAAAGAACTCCTATGTAAATACACAGCAAAGAGTGAATGAAGTCTATGTAACAGACATTTCACCAAAGAAATGCAAAGAGCCCATCAGCATATGAAAACACTCAGTCTAGTGGTAGCCAAATGATAACAATGAGGTATTAGAAGTTGCTCAATTTTAAAAGATCCAATGTTTGTCCTGTGTGAGAAAATGTGATTTTGTAGGCTATTAATAGGAAAAGCAATTAGAATAATATTTCTGAAGTACTGTTGGTCATCATTTTAATTTTTTTAAATATTGTTTACCTTTGGTCTATTAAATATGCTTTGAGGAAAGGCATGTTTTATGCAGGGTGAAGTACAGGGGAGTGACAAAACACATCCATGCAAAGAGAAAACTGTCAGGCCTGTAAAAGAACATAAGTGTATGCATGTTAGCTATGTAGACCCAGGCTGGCCTCGAATTCACAGCGATCTGCCTACCTCTGCCTCCTGAGTGCCAGGATTAAAGTCAGGCATACCGTGCAGGGTTCTAATTTTTCTAAATTTGAAATTATGCTCAAATTAACACAGTATCTATGTTTTTTATAATTATTTCATTTTTAAAAAATTTTTTGTATATAAGTGTATTGCTTGCATATAGGTAGGTGCACCCATGTAGTATAATGCCCCTGGAGGACATAAGGGGGTGTCAGATCCCCAAGAACTAGAGTTAGGATGGTTGTCAGCCACCATGTGGATGCTGGGAATCAAACCAAGGTCCTCTACAAGAGCAACCATTGCTCATAACTGCTGAGCCTTCTCTCCAGCCTCCCAGTCTTAAGTCTTTTAAAGTTTGTAGTTCAATGGTACTAGACAATGCTTTTAAGTGCATTTGTCTCCTAAGTGATAGTTTTGTTTTGCTTTATTTTAGTGCTAAGGATCAAACCTGGGGATTTGCACATGGTAGACAAGTCTTCTACCACCAAGTCATATCCTCAGCCTTCTTAAATTACATAGAAAAGAAATGGGGCATTAAAGGCCAAAATTACAGCACTCTCTTACTGATTAGTTTTGTAATGTCTTTTAACTCATGCACTCACCTTTACTGAGGTCTTCAGCTGCTGCTGTCTAGTGTTCTCTCACTCTGCTTAACTCACAGGTCTCCCAGGAGAATTGCCTGTACAGCAGGTGCAGTAGTGCCTACCTCTGTTTATGTTCATTTGGGAATGTCCTGATCTCTCCCTCATTTTCAAAGGGCAGCTTTGCTATATAAAGAATTCTTGGTGGGCAGGTCTTGGCTCTTGTTAGACTTTGACTATATTGACTCACTGCCTTATGGTCTCCAGAGTTTTTTATAATCTTATTGTGTATGATGAGACTGTTGTCTTTTGCCTTTAAGATTCTATTTGCTGTTGGAGCATTTGGTTATAGTGTGTCTTACAGTGTGAGACTCTGAATTCATTTTATTTAATCAGGCTCTTTGGATTTTGTTTTTTGTTTTGTTCATTTTGGGTTGCATTGTGTTTCTGAGGCAGGGCTTCACTATAGCTCTAGCTGGCCTGCAAGTTGCTATATAGACCAGACTGGCCTGGAACTCACAGTGATCTGCCTGCCTCTGTCTCTGGGTGCTGGAATCAAAGGTGTGTGCCACCATGCCAAGCATCTTTGAATATTTTTATTCATGTCTTTCATCTAGTTTGGGAACATGGAAACCATTGATTCCTGAAATGTCCTTCCCCCGCCTCATTGTCTTTCTCTTATTTTTCTGAGACCCAGTGCATGTTGGGCCTTTCATAGAGTCCACTTTTGGTCTAAGCACTGTTCCCTTTTTCTCCAGCCTTTTTTCTTTATCTTCAAAGTCAATAGTCAATAATTTGCATTATCTTAACTTCAGACACTATATTTGATCTTTTTTTTTTTTTTTTTCTTTTGGTTAGCTGGGCTAAGGATCTGTCTAGTTTAACTTTTCAAAGAAGCAACTCTTAGATTCTTTGAGTCTTTGAATAGTTTTCTTTGTATTTCATTCATTTCTGCTCTGGTTTTTATTATTTCTTTTCATCTGTTAGATTTCGCTTTGGATTTTTTTTTTCCAGATTCTTGAATAGTACCATTAAATCATTCATGTATGTTCTTTCTGGTTTTTTAATGTAGGTACTTAAGGCTATGAATTTCCCTCTTAGGGCTGCTTTTAATGTGTCCCAGAAGTTTTTTGTGTTGTATTTTCATTTTTATTTTGTTCCAGAAATATTTTTATATTTTTCTTGGTTTCTTCTTTGACCTATTCACCATTTAGTAGCATGTTGTTTAATCTCCATGAGTTCATGTGTTGCTAGAACTTCTTTTACTGTTGATTTTAAGCATTATTGTATTGTGGTCCTATAGACTATATTAAATTATATTAATTCTTTTGTTCTTGTTTAGATTCAAATGTGCCTCAGCATGTGGCCTATTTTAGCAAATCTTCCATGAACTGCTGAGTAGAATGTGTATGTATTCTTTGGTACTTGAGTGGAATATTCTATAGATGTCTGTTAGGTCCATTTGATGTATGATACCATTTAATTCAGATGTTTCTCTGTTTATTCTTTGACCAGATAACCTGTCTATTGGAGAAAGTGGAATATTGACGTCATCTACTGTTACTGAGTTGCAGTTAATCTGTGTCTTGAAGTTCAATAGTACTCCATTTATGAAATTGCATGCACCAAAGTTTGGTGCATGTATGTTTAGTACTATAATGTCTTGGTAAATTGTTCCCTTCATCAGAATGAAATGACCTTCTTTATTTCTTCTGATTAATTTTATTTTGAGGTCTATTTTGTCAGATAGCAACATCTACTTGTTTCATGGTGCCATTTGTTATATCATGGAAGATTTTTCTTTCTCTTTTGGCTATGATAGACCGTTTTGCTGATTAAATTAATGTGGGTTTGGCATCTGTGGTCATTTAGAATTTGGAATACATTGCTCCTGGCTCTTCTGATTTTTGAAATTTTCATTGAAAAGTCAGCTGTTATTCTGATGAGTTTCCTTTATATGTAATTTTTGTTTATCTCTTACAGTTTTCAGTACCTTCTCTTTGTTCTGTATATTTAGTGTTTTCACTATGATATGCCATGGGGAATTTCTGTTCTGGTCCTGCCTATTTGGTGTTCTATATGCTTCTTGTATCTTTATGGGTATGTTTTTGCTTAATTTAGGGAAGTTTCCTTCTATAATCCTGTTAAAGATCTGGTCAATGCCATTGATCTGAGATTCTTCTCCTTCCTCTAGGCCTATAATTTGTAGATTGGGCTTTTTCATAGTGTCCCACAGCTCCTGCATATTCCCTTCTGTGTTTTTAAAAAAAGATTTTCAGCCGGGCATGGTGGTGCATGCCTTTAATCCCAGCACTCAGGAGGCAGAGGCAGGTGGATCTGAGTTTGAAGCCAGCCTGGTCTCCATAGTGAATCCAGGACAGCTGGGGCTACAGGGAGACCCTGTCTCAAAAAGACCAAAAAAAGAAAAAAATTTCATATTCTTTGCTTGAGCAATCCAATTTTCCAATTTTATCTTGATATTCTATTTTCCATTTGATTCATGCTTCTGGTAAGACTTTATCCTGTCATTGAGTTTTTCAATTCCATGTTCATCTCAGCTTCAGTTTTCTCCAATATTTCTGTCTCTTTTGTGGATTCACTTTTAGTTTCAGTCAGTTTATTCCTATCCTCTCTGAATTTCTTGAGGTGATTGTGTGTTCTTTAAAGTCCTTCAATTCTTTGATCATGCTTATGATTGTTCTTTTAAGTTCCATGTTCTGGGGTCCTCTGTTTATTTTGCATAGTATAATACTTCCATAGGACTGGTAGGATTTGGTGGGAACATATTATTTTGATTTTTCATATTACTTGTGTTTTTGCATTGTGACCTGGGCATATGGACTTCCCTTGCTGGTTGTGAGCTGATATGAAATTCTAGCCAGTCTTTGTTGTGTAGAAATTTGGTTCTGTTTTTATTGTTGTTATAGCTTGATTTTTGATTAGGTATGAATAGTTAATTGGTCTGTGCTTCGGGTCTCCCTTTTGATTTTTTTATTGATGGGACAGGGTGATTCCAGTTTGGTCCAATGTACCAGGTGGACAGTCACGGCTAGGACATGAGTGTGGGAATGGTGAAGAACTGGGTAGATTCTGACTAGCTCACCAGGGTGGTCTGTAGCACATGACCAGCAGTTCCCATCCTAGTCCTGCAGCAGGAAGATGTAAATATTTTATGTTTTTAAATTTTATATGTATGAGTGTTTTGCCTACATGTATATAAGTACATCAAGTACATGCAATCCCCAGAAGAGGGGATCAGATCCCCTGGAACTGGAATCATGGACAGCTGTGAGCTGCCATGTGGGTGCTAGAAACTGAATCTAAGTCCTTTGCAAGAGTAGCCAGTGTTCTTAACCACTGAGCCATCTGTCAAGCCCCTCCTTTAATTCTCTAAGGTTTTTAAAAGACACTTGTTGTTAAAAGTCATTATCAAGTATATCTTCCATTGGCTCTTTTTCAGAGATAGTCTCTATTCTTTTTTTCTTTTCTTGTGTCATTTTTCTAGTTCTTTTGTATGCCATGTGTTTTGTGATTGAAAACTAGATGTTCATTCATTCATTTTTGAAACACAGTCTCATTATATATTCTAGGCTGGCCTTGAACTTATGATCCTCCTGCCTGAGCATTCCAACTGCTGGAATTACAGGCATGTGCTACCATGCCTAGCTTGAAAATTAGATTTTTATAACTAATATTGAGGTAGCTCTGGAAATCAGATTCTCCTCTTCCCCAGGTTTGCTGGAGGACGAAGTGTTTTTATTCTTGATTTTGTTTTCTTGATTGTTACAGACTGTTTCAGTACAGGTATCAGCCTAAGGTGCAAATTTAAGGTCTTCTCATGTCTTTTCTGGCCCTGTAGTGTTTCCTGGGCATGCATAATCATGTTCTCATTTTCCTCACAGGTGCACTTGTTTTCCAGTGT